AAGCTGGACCAGAGCACTTGCTTCCCCAAGCCTGAGGGGTCTTGAGTATTATTATTATTGCCAGGGATTGAACCCAAGGGCATTTAACCACTGAGACACATCCATTATTTTGTTATTTTTTAAAAATTTTGAGACAGTGTCTCGCTCAGTGGCTTGCAGCCTCCGTAAGTTGCTGAGGCTAGCTTTGAACTTGTGATCCTCCTGCCTCAGCCTCTGAGCTGCTGGGATTACAGGTGCGCACCACTGCACCTGGGTCTTGAGTAATATTTTGAGGAGGTTTTCTTTTCAGTAATTTCTTGAAGATTAAATCTGTTGAGGTGACATGTTGCTTCCATTTTTTTTTTCCAAAATAGAGGAATGAGAGGAAAAAATCACATGGAGGATTCCATACACCTGCAAAAATAGCAGCAATTGTTCGAGTGTCTTAAGCTGAAACCTAGGAGAACAAATATACCATCTACCCATATGAGTGCCCCTGTTGCTGGTGCAGCTGGTGAGGACACCATTGAGGAAGATTGAAAGAGGGGAATGGATGGCTGGACACCTCAACACCTCTTACAGATGAGGAGGAGTTTTAAGTATTTAAACACAAGTTATATAGCAGGGGCTCACATGTTGAGAGTGAAGTCCTTGCACCATAAGGCAGGAGCCAGGATTGATTCAGGAACTGAGACATTTGAGAACGTCGTCTTCTTTCCTAACCTGATGCTGACTGATCCCTCATCCTGAGAAACCCTGGTTCCGCGGTCTTTTTCCATGATGTTGATCAAGCTGTTGCAAACAAAGTGGTGAATATACATAGATCTGTGGCAGCAGCCCAACGAGGGGATGTGTTTGAACACCACTCCTGAGACACTTTGACCTCTGCACACCAGCATCTAGAACTCTGAGAACATCATCATACACATTTGTTTGTACACAATTCTCATCTTTTTTTCCTTAGGTTGCTTTAGAGTCATAACAACCTGTACATAGAATATCAGGAAGACTGACACACCCTTCAACTCAAAACTAAAATGTAGCTGTAGAAGACAGTTACAGTGTATAGTTTTAGTTATACATAGTATATATAGATATTGTTACAACTAGTTGTTGCACAGTTATACTTGAGTTACATGTATACATGTGAGTTATACATATAGTTATATGTAACTATAACCCAATTCTGTGATTTGTATTTATAATAAATAATAAAAGTAAAAGAGGTGACACTGTGAGTATACAATAAAATGCAACCATAGTGGGTAATTCTAAGTATGGCTAAGTGAAAGGTGAACATGATTTTGGATATTAAAAAGAAGAGTTTCTAACACCTTTCCTCTAACCAAATTGACTAAAAAAAGCATATATTTCATCACTTTTTAAAAGAATTTTTGAATTTCACTATCAAGTATTCATTCAAAGTAATATAATTTATACTTTTACACATATGTATACAAACACATTGAGACACACACACACACACATACACACACAAACACACAAAGAAGGACCTACATCCAAATTTTGGGTCTCTATTATCAATTTTGTTGCAGAAAATTTCAAAGTATCAGGAAAGCCATTAACCTGGGTACAAGGCACTTGTTTGTTACCACGCTAAAATTGGTCTTAGCTGGCATGGTGGTGCTTGGTGGCACACGACTATAATCCCAGTGGCTTGGGAGGATGAGGCATGAGTATCACAAGTTCAAAGCCAGCCTCAGCTAAAATGAGGCCCAAAGCAAATTATTTAGAGACAAGGGCTGGGGATGTGGCTCATCTCTGGATTCAATCTCCAATACCAAAATAAATAAAAATTAAAATAATATAGTTTTACCTGTCTGAGGTGCGGCAACAATGAAAGTCTGTGAGATTCAGGAAGAGAATTCACAATATTCACATAAATATTGTGAATTAACGATAGTAATGCAGCATGATGGACATATCGCTCACGTGTTTTACTTCAGAGAGGAATCCAATGGCCCATAATACATGGAAAGGCTCATAATCTCCTAATATCAAACTGTAAGTGAACTGTTACACCCTTTGAATTGTCAGAGCAAATGGAAGTGTTTGGGAGATGATGCCGAACCCCAGAATACCTAAGGGGAGGGTAAGTTGGTTCAATTCTTTGAAACTACCCAAACGTGAAAACTGTTCTACTACAGCCAGCACTTTCACACCAAGTATGTGTCCCAGGGCGTGGGGTTCAATCTGAGGGCACTGGCCACGTGTGCCTGTACAATACCACTGAGCTACGTCCCCAGCCCTAAAACTATTTTTTATTCACTTTGAGAGTCATGGTAGAGAATATTCAAGAAGTTTATCCAAATAGCAGAAAAATGGACACCAAACGTTGTTCCACATCAGAGAAGCTACGTATGTTTAATGTCACCATATATAATGTGTAAAAAATACAGAGCACCCAAATCAAGAAATAACTTCTGAAACCAACAAAAGGGTCATTTATGAAGCACGAAGATGAGACTTGCATGAAAAATTGGAATTCATTATGTGACATGTTGTGCAGGGTTGTTGTCAGGGTGATGAATATGGATTGGATTGCTGTAAAAATGACAGTTTTTCAGGGCAAAAGTGACCCAAATCTGGCAATCAGATACTGACTTCATCAAACCAGTTTCCACGGTCACAAAGCCTCCTCCTGGGTTCTGTCTTCTCCACTCCTGTCTTAGAAAGAGCCATGGGATTACATTTAGATCCCACCCAGATGGTTCACTAAGTGCCCCTTCTCTGCCAACCCTCTTGTTCCCAACAAGCAACACTCATCGTTCATCCCACAGTGGGATCACAAGTTGACATAGTTTGAAGACCACCATGGAGTCCACCCCAGAGATGCCAGTGGTTGGTACATGGAGAATTCCCTACCCAAGACACCCAGGAGTGGGCTCCCAGACTGTTGCCTGTGGCATCGGGTCCAGGTATGACAACTGCATTTGCCAACTTCATCGGAATTGAGTGAATGAAGTTCTGCTCTCTGTGCCAGCATATTTCATACCTCTGATATCTTTGGAATGAAAGTTTTTTCTCCTTATTGTCACAGCATATTAAAATCATGGTTTTTTAAACTTAAGAATGAAGATATCTTCATTGTGGACTTCAAGTATGTCACAATCATCTCAAACCACTGATCTGATCCAATCATGCCAATTTTCTAGATAAGACATTGAGTATGGTCAATGTTGTTTTTTCTACAGAAGCATATGGATGCCAGTAGCAGATCTCAATTATTGCTTCTGAGGATATGAATGTCCACCAATTTGCTTGCATTAGATTGACACTGGGATGCAATTCTAATGGCCCCAGCTGTGATCAGTGGAAGCGATTCGATTCTCTTAATATGGCCAAGCGTTG